TAATTCATTATTCGTCATAAATTATTCTGCCCACTTATTCGAATAATTCATTATTCGTCATAAATTATTCTGTCCATTTATTCGAATGATTCTTTATTCGAATGATTCCTTATTCGAATGATTCTTTATTCGAATGATTCCTTATTCGAATGATTCTTTATTCGAATGATTCCTTATTCGAATGATTCTTTATTCGAATGATTCCTTATTCGAATGATTCTTTATTCGAATGATTCCTTATTCGAATGATTCTTTATTCGAATGATTCCTTATTCGAATGATTCTTTATTCGAATGATTCCTTATTCGAATGATTCTTTATTCGAATGATTCCTTATTCGAATGATTCTTTATTCGAATGATTCCTTATTCGAATGATTCTTTATTCGAATGATTCCTTATTCGAATGATTCTTTATTCGAATGATTCCTTATTCGAATGATTCTTTATTCGAATGATTCCTTATTCGAATGATTCTTTATTCGAATGATTCCTTATTCGAATGATTCTTTATTCGAATGATTCCTTATTCGAATGATTCTTTATTCGAATGATTCCTTATTCGAATGATTCTTTATTCGAATGATTCCTTATTCGAATGATTCTTTATTCGAATGATTCCTTATTCGAATGATTCTTTATTCGAATGATTCCTTATTCGAATGATTCTTTATTAGAACAATTCCAAAAGTTCTTTATGCAAATAATTCGAAAAATTCTCTGTTGAAATAATTCGAAAATTTCTTCATTCAAATAATTCGAAAAGTTTTTTATTCAAATAATTCGAATAATTCTTTACGCGAATATGCAGTTCGAAACGTTCTTTATTCGAATAATTCGAAGAAATAATATGGAAGACATATGAATCGATAAACTATGAGAAAATACTTCATATTCTATCATTTACGAATAAAGTCTTGTTCCTTCTGAATAACACAATTAGCATGTATTTAATATAACACATATAAACAACGTTAAAGTGGTGTTTGAAACTAACCCGAGGTTGATATTGCGGCTGTAAAAGTGCTAAAACGGTTATCGAGAACCGAATCTGGCAAGGGTTACGTTTTTTGTCTCTGCTTTTGGGGGACCTAGTACATGTTCGATCTCATTCTCTATCATGTACAATTACGCAAGTATTGGGTCGGCAACTAAGTAATTGCCAATTTCAGTTATAGATGTCTTTCACTCCCATTTTTATGATATCCGTAAATGTTATATTATAAAATTATTATTATTATTATTATTATGTTATTTTTTATTATCCGTGAATGTTAGCAACTGGACAAATTGAATGCAGCGGTCAAGGAAAAGCGACCAGAATTGGTCAATCGTAAAGGTGTCATTTTCCAGCAGGACAATGCTAGGCCGCACACGTCTTTGTCCACTCGGCAAAAATTGATGGATATTGGTTGGGAATTGATGTTACACCCACCATATAGCCCTGATCTCACGCCATCGGATTACCACTTATTTCGATCCCTGGACAACTCATTTCGTGGTAAAACTTTTAATGACGATGACGCTGTAAAATCTCACTGAACTCAGTGTTTGGCCGAAAAGAATCAGACTTTCTACGAGCGTGGAATTTTCAAGTTGTCAGAGAGATGGCAAAAGATCATCGAACAAAATGGAAAATACATTACAGATTAAACTTCATTCCAAGTAAAAAAATTTTTTATATCATTGAACGAATCGGTAATTACTTAGTTGCCAGCCAAATAGTTTTCCGATAACAAAATGACTTGAAACGAATAACATATATGAAGCAGAAGTGTGCCGAATAACGACGACCTAGTTGGGCATTAAAATCTTGTACCGGGAAGATGAAATATTTGAATGGTGTTGGAGGAAGTTGGGGCCCCGGTTATTGACACAAGGATTAATAACGGCAGTAATCGAATGAGTACAAGTTACTTGTAACTGTTGGCTCGACGACGTGTCCTCGCGAGCATCGCGCAGCAATTTTCGTCCGAGCAAGGTAAAAATTTACAAATTGAGCGTCCGTTATAAACGAGCGATCAGCGCGACAACTGGCCACTTCCGCCTCGAATAGGCTGTTAACAAAATGTTGCGAGTCGTTTTCGGAAACACTGTAATTCGCAATCGCCGCGTGAATTTCCAGGTCGCGTTGTACACGGCTCGCGCAGTAAAGGGGTTAACGGTCTCTCCCGGTCCTTGTAATCGTTAAGAAAAAAGCTTCCATTACCGTATCACTCCTTTCCCGGCCGCAAAGACTTAATTTAGTCGACGCAAGAATCTGAGCATGTCTGTTATCTCAATCGGGCGTTCTCGCTTCCGAAAATAATGGGCACCGATAAAGAAGGTAGAAGCGATCCTGGTCAGCCGCCCAAAGGAAGGCGGCACAGCATATTTATTGATCGTTACGAGGATTCCAAATACTCGGCGAGTCGCAGCGAGCTGTCTTCTGCCACGGCTCGTTTTCTGTCGCGGTTTCACCGTAATTTCGGCATGATTTACAACATCCGATCGGAGAAAAGGGAGGAAGCACGCGATCATTCGGATTTACTTCCACCGTTGCTATTGCGGGTGAAAACTGGAGTTGGATATTGTTCGAATAAGTTCTTCGAACAAGACTTTATTCGTATATTTCGAATAAAATTGTATTCGAGGAATATTTCAAATAAATTCTTCGAATCAAATTGTATTCGAGAAATATTTCGAATAAATTCTTCGAACCAAATTGTATTCGAAGAATATTTCGAATCAAATTGTATTCGAGAAATATTTCGAAGAATATTTCGAATAAAATTGTATTCGAGAAATATTTCGAATAAATTCTTCGAACCAAATTGTATTCGAAGAATATTTCGAATAAAATTGTATTCGAGAAATATTTCGAATAAAATTGTATTCGAGTAATATTTTGAATAAATTCTTCGATTATTTCGAATAACGTTTTATTCGTTTATTGAATAAATCAAGATTGTTAAAAAAGTACTCCAGACCTTCTTTCCTTTACGTTATTTCAGTAAATCAAATTTTATTCGAAATATTCAGCGAATTTATTCGAAATATTCGAATAAAATTGTATTCGAAGAATTTATTTGTCCTATTTCTCGAATATAATTTTATTCGAAGAATTTATTCGAATTGCAAAACCTGATAGTCGACAGAATTTTAACAGAAAATTTTACATTAGTTGGTTATGCAGGTCAATGTTTTCTATAAAAATGTATTGATTTATGTATGTTCAAATTTTCGTTGTGGGCTCGAATGAAAAAGAGAGCCATTGCAAAATTTATTTGTAAAACTCAGAGGAAAGAATATATTCGGACCTCGTGTACGCAATGTGAATAAAACGTAACTAAAAATGTAATATACATATTTGCAAGCATTCACTGTTATACCGAATTCCTTCTATGAAAACGATTCAAGTGCACTTATGAACAGATAAAGGCCAATTTCATGTGATGAATATGAGGATCGGACAAGGTTGAAAAAATTACATGTCGAATATGTCTCGATGCTTCGCATGTCTACCAAGTTTCATTATAAGCGACAACTTTGTGTCGGATGTTGCCTCTTGTAAGTTTAATGCGACCGAACTAATTGAGACGATATAATGAACATAATTGAATTTCAAAAAAAGATGCAAACTTCAATATCTTAATCAGACCTTTCATCGTGAGATATTTTTACAAGTTAATATTGTTGAGATATTTTGTATGCAGAAATGGCAAGATTGAATTTACGATTATTTTCAGCAGTTTTTATTACAGTACATAATATAAATATAGAAGCATTTTTACGTAACTTCGAGAATTGCAACATCAAAAATCTCAAAACCTGTCGATTGACGGTGAAAAGTTTCGCTTAAATAATCATTATCGCTGGATTGCGGCTTTTATTCATTTATGACAAAAATGAGCAGATCATTTCAAAAATTCAAAGATAACGTTGTATTGCGTTTAATTTATTGAAATTATTAAGAAATAAATAAACGTCTACACGGCTCCTGCATCTTGTAAACAATGTAACAATTTTTAATCTGCATAAAGATCCGCAGTTTAATTATCACGTTATATTGCGGGATTTCCAAGACTCCGTAATTCGCCTAATTAGAATGAAACCATATATTAGGAATCCAGAGCTGCAAGAGGATTGCTTGTATTTTGTAAATATCGTTATTAATCGAAAACAAAAGTGTTCGAATAAAAAGTTAGCAGTTTTAGCAATTTTTTTCGGGCATGTGAACACCGTCGAACGTTTCGTAAATCGATGTTCCGATAATCAAACTCTCCTCTCATCGATTCTCGTTCATTGAACGGTATCAGGATAATCAGCCTTCTACTGGACACGTAAACTCGCGCTCGATCGGAAGAAGTTTCTCTTTAAATCGCAGATTATATGCTTGAACGGGTTTAATAAAGCTTTCGTTTTGATATGCATATTGGAACAGTATTGAAATTGCGCGCGTCTCGATCCGGGATGCGACTTTTGTACGAATTTATTTGCAAATTTTACTTTGTTGGAACTGTGTAAGAATGAAAGTGTTTCTTTTTTGCACCTAATTTGTAAGGGTAAATTTATGCACCTGCAAACGATTACTCTACGAATAATATTATTGATTATTATTATTTATCAAATTTATTATTAATTAATATCTTCTACATTTACTTACACACATCGGTATGTGTCATTATACCGTGAATTTTTGTAAATTTTCAATTGTGTAGACCGATACTGAAAAGCTAATAATAATAGAAAAGAAAATTGCATATGTTTGGCAATGACTTTGTTGTATTAAAACTTCGAAAAGATACGAAATTAACCATTTTTTAACTTTCCGTGTAATTCTTCTGATGCATTTCATTCGACGATACTTCGATTTTAGTCGTAGCTGTAATATACTTCATTAATTACAGCAAGGTTGAAATATGTAATATCAATTGTTATATTTGTCCCAGGTTGTTTTAAAACATTATTGTCTTTGTACAATGGCGTTCATAGGATAGCAAATGTGGTAACTTTTCTTACCTTTATTCTATTCTTCTGTATTTCCGGATTCTTTCAATTCCAAGTGCTTCCAGACCACTCGCTGCTTGGCTTTATTCCAATCTTTGGCTTCGTATTAATTTCTGTAAAATAACAGAAAACAATACAGATGCAACAGCAAGGAGAGATTTCGGTAAAGAGATAAAGAAATTTAACAGTTTCCTCTGATTATCGGATAAAGATATTGTGATAATGAAAAATGTAATTTTCTAAACAAATTAATAATTTAACGATAATGTTTGCAATTTTAACAAATTCATCTACAACTTTGAAATCTTTCCTAAAATGACTGAATATGGAACGGCAATTGTTATTTATAATTGAAAGCAATTAATATCAGGTATATTTTTATTGTAATATTTGTTAATTAAAATGTAAATATTTATAGAATATCAAATTGGAAATATTTTCTAAAGTAACAACTTGAATTTTATGAATTTCTGTTAGAAACGAGTACGTGAAAAATGATACAGACGAATATAAAAATAAAAACACTTTGCGTTCGAGTAATTAAAATCATTAACAGAGGAAATAATTGCTTGTTTTACTTCTTCCTCTTGCAGCTGATGCATAAATATTTTATTTCGCATAAAAATTCGCGGTCTGTGTTAAATATAATACTAACATACTTTTGATAGAATATAAAAATTTAAAAAAATATATATATAAATATTAATATAATATATTACTAAAATATTAATAATAACCCAGTCTAAATATTTTATGCTTGCAAGAAAACAAATAGTAAATTATTCATTGGTCGTATATCAGTCATTTAATAATTACGAAATTATTTGATGCATCCAATATAATTTCACAATCATTAGAAGCAATTTCATAATTATTAGAAACAATTTCACAATTCGAAGGTAATACAATTCAATGTGATATTGTTATTTTAGGCATCCATTTCACTTCAATAATTTTAATCGATATTGCTCCGCGATTATCCTCCCGTGTTATTAATAGTTAATTACTTGCACGTGAACAGGAGATTCCTGTCGGAAGCAAAATTTAACCGAAAATAACTCGTAACTTTCGGAAGCTATCACGTAGTAATAAGTAACTACTGTGCTGTCATTAACTTTCTGAAGCGTCCCAGAGTATACTTTTATAACACGGGCCAACTAAAAAAGTTAAGACTGTAAATAAAGGGTTCCTGTCACTTTGCCGACAATTATTTCATCGACAGTCATCTCACCGACACGATTTCATCGGCTATGTTCACACTAACCGGCACATTAAAATCTCCGACCATCTGTTAATAGTTTCACAGACGCGATAATTTCGTCGACAGTCCACCTCGTCGACACCCAATTTCGTGTAATTCTAACCCAAACCTATCCCGGAGTCAATTCGAGTCTTATATTTCATACTAATTATATACTATTAGACATAATTAAATCGCTGATTTTATGCATTTATGATCAAAGTGAGTGGCTGGAATGCCAAACAAATGCAGGAACCGCTTTAAAAATGCTGTCAAATTATTAACAACTTGTTAAAAATGCTAAGAACGATACTGAATATTTATTTAACTCGTGTTTGTTAGAACGGAGTCGGAGAAATTCTATTTTGCATAAAGATCCACAGTCTGGTTATAATAATTACTTTAAATTACTTCATTATATTTGAACATGTTATTTGTAGACTGCAAACTTTTATATAAATTAATTTTCATTAATTGTTCGATAAAAATCTGAGAAAAGAAAACATTTCTTACATCGACTAGAAAATTTCTCGTCGCGAACGTCGAATAATAATACAAATAATATTGTGTTAGTGTGCTCGTATACTTGCATTTTACAAATCCGCGGTATACTTATGATAGTTATTTTAAATTCAAATTACTTTACAATATTTGAATGTGTTATTTGCAGGCTGCAAATCTTAATGGAAACGCGAGCAATCTTCTCAAGCATTGTTTTATAGAAATCAAAAGAAAGGAAACATTTCTAACGTTAACTAGAAAATTCCTCGTTGCGAACGTTGAATAATAATAAAATTAATTTCGTGTTAATACGCGCGTTCACTTGCAT